AAGTGTATGTTGTAAGCCGCCTAGAGTGGTCACAATTGACTAGATAGGCGGGGTATAAATTAAATAAATAAATAAATAAATAAATAAATAAATAAATAAATAAATAAATAAATAAATGAATGAATGAATGAATGAATGAATGAATGAATGAATGAATGAATGAATGAATGAATGAATGAATGAATGAGCCCCTCTTGTATAATCTGAACTATAAGCCACAATTTAACAGGGCACATTTGCAACAGAATTAAGGATGCATCTGCCAATTGTCCATTCACAGTCCAGATCCTTGTGGTGATAATCACTAACTAGGTAAAACACAAAGTCAGCTAACTTTGCCTGTGACATAGCATCATGGTAACCAAACTCTATCGCTAGTGCTTCTTGATGAAATACCTGCATGATGTCAACCATACATTCATTGAACTCATGATGCTTGATGACATCCTCTGTATGGGTACTATAAAATCCAGATTGAGTAGGATGATTTGTTTGAGTACCTTTTTTACTTCAAAAATCTGGTTCTGTGAATCTAGTTTCCTCTTTTTTTGTGAAATCGGTGGGGGGGAAGTACACATGTTATCTAATGTGTAAATAGAAGGGGAATTTTTCCTTTTTCTTTCTGGTATGTATGAGTGAGGCACCAAAAATCATGAAACATGAGAAAAATATGGTACTCAGATCTTCTCAGCAAGGTGTGATGGTATAATAATGAAAACTGTCTTACAAGGGGAAAGCTTGGTTAGTGTGCAAAAAATCAGAGAATATGAAAGAAATAATGGCTTTAGATTAAAAAATGATGAAGTGAGGGGAAAAGAGAAAGAGCGAGGAAAGAAAATTAAACTGCCTCTTGCACTGTATAAGGAATGACTTTATGACTGGTCAATAGGAAACCTTTGCTGAACATAAGCAAAAGATATGTATACTTTTCAATGCTTTCTTCTTAAAATCTGCTCCCTGTTGTGCAAATCCTATCTTCTCAAAATAATGTAGCATTTTGGGAAAAAGGATGCAAACCAGTAATCCAGCACTGGAGGCCAGGATTGAGAAAATCTCCACAGCCACCAAGTATTTCCCCTTGGTGCTCAGATAGGTTGGCACAAAGGAAAACTAAATGCTGCAAAAGACCAACATGCCAAAGGTGATCAACTTGGCTTCATTGAAACTGTCCTGTAATTTCCTGGCAAGGAAAGCCACTGTGAAATTGCTCATGGACAAGACGCCTAAAAAAACTTAGGACAGAGTAGAACATGATGATGTTCATCATTATATTTCATGACATCATTATATTTCATGATAATGTTCTCAGCCACTGAGTTCATGTCAAGATTTGGGAGGGAAGGAGAGGTGTCCAGCCAGACAGCACAGAGGCTGGCTTGGATAAAAAAAGCAGGAAACAACAGTGGAGGTGGCCATTTCCCACCCCTGCACCTTATGAGGGTGATGGGATGAAAAGAACGGCCTCTCCTGATGATCTATACATGAAGCAGCCCTATGGAATGCTCTATATCATGCACTAACCTCTTGTTAGGTACAACAATCAGGTCATATTCCAAAATTCCTATCCGGTCCTGAAGCGACCTGCTACTTTTGCACTTGACTCATCGGCAGGAAGTTTACTGGACCTCCCAATAGGCCTGCTGGTTGATGGGCCTGCCTATGGTTACCCAAGAAGACTGGCTCTCCATTGCAAGGGAAGTGGGCAAAGACTATATGTCTGCACAGCTATTAGGCACATGAATGGAGAGGCACCATCTTGCTGTTCCAAAATTAGTGGAAGAGAGAAGCAAGTGCTATGTTGATTCAGCATCTGGTGGAAAGAACTGAGAGTCATAGGAATATGCAGGAGAGAGGAACATAGCCATCCTAAATTTAATTGTCATCTTCCAAAGCCATAGAAATTATGTGCTAGTTCCTTGAAAAAGGACCAACAGATGTTGGTTCCAATATTAATCAGGACATAGAAGCATCTGTGTCACTTGCAAGACTTGCTATCCTATCCTATATGATCTACACATAATAGAAACCTGAGACAATGATCCTTATTCAGTCATTATGCTACTCAATTCTGTGATCATGCTTACAGGGTAATGGCAAGTTCCAAATACTTCTTTATAGCATTGTTCACTTTTACACCACCGGTTCTGAAGAAAAGAGGTCCCTGCTCTTGTGCAGAACTATCCTCTCCAGATCAAATGCTATAAGAAACAATGAAAAGTGGGACAGCAACTGAAATCCAGTTGAAAGTTGCAACTAGAAGAGGGCCAATAAATCAATTGATCTTACGGAGGAGTTGACTAGAGTCTAATGAGCTTCTGTCAGAGAGGCAAAGGTTCAGAGGGCTAGATTATGATACAGTGGTACCTCGCTAGACGATTGCCTCGCAGGATGAGGAAATCACTAGAGGATAGCACTTCGCAAAACAGCTTTCCCTATGGGTGATTTTTGCTGGACGATGTTTCAGTCCGTGCTTCGCAAGACGAGTTTTTTCGGGACCGTTTTTCACAGTACAACTATTTTTTTTTAAATTTTATTTTCAAAACTATTGGGTAATGGGGAAGGAATACAAAAGGCAAAGGGCAGTGGGGGGGATGGAAAGAGGGTTTTGAGAATAAGAAAACATCAAATGCATAATCATTCAATCTTTCATATCAAGTATATAAACATCTAATCTATTCATGTTCCAATAAAGGTTCATCTTTCTTCTTCTTTTTCTTCTTCTTCTTTTGACTATTTTGTCTATGTATTAACCTCTTTAGCTTTCAACTTATACGTGTAATACAGCTTAAATCTATGTTATTCCCACAGCATCAGAACACCAAGGCCAATTGTGAAATATATCCCCTCTTTCACCCTCCTTTTTTTCTTGAGAATACACTCAACAGACCCAAAATAATATAAATTCTGCTCTCCCCTCCCCTTTCCTCCCTGTGCTTGTTGTGTTTCTGCGACTCTTTTTTCTTCCATATTTTAAAAGGGGGAACAATATCATTCAAAGTTTGCTTTTCAACCTCAATTTTCCTATCTGCTATCGCTACATCGCTTACTGGGTGGCCCTCCATCCCTTGTATATTATCTGATATCTTCATCAATACAGCCGGTTCTGAGATCTCTTTTTGGTGTAATTTAACCTCCGCTACCTTCCCTCCCCTAGAGCCTCCAATCACATCTTCCATCTGGTCAATATAATAATTTACCTGCATGAATTTCTGCAACAGTGACATCTGAAAAGAGGTTTTCCAGTCTAGCCACCGATCTGTAATTTTCTCAGGGGGAGGTTCCATTTTCTGTTTCCACTATTTTCACTTAAAACTCCCTCTCCCCTTTACCCCAATACACATCCAATATTTCTAATATTTCACCTTGCAACTATACAACTTAGTTGCACAGTACAACTATTTTGACAGCTTCACTAAATGGGTGTTTTCGGGACCATTTTTCGCAAGATGCCGATTTTGACAGCTGATCGAGGGTTCATGAAATGGTTTCCCTATGGGCGATCTTCACTGAATGACAACAATTCTTCCCCACTGGAATGCATTCAACGGATTTCAATGCATTCCAGTGGGGAATCATGCTTCGCTAAACTATGTTTTTACAAGATAGCGATTTTAACAGAACGGATTAACATCATTTAGCGAGGCACCACTGTATGTCATGACACATCATGCTTTTTTTTAAGGCTAGAGAGGGTGAGCTGAACTATGTAGTATATTCCCGGGAAACCATCTCCTAGCTCCAGTGTATCAATATCGTGTTGCCAAAACTGCTTCCAGCATGCAAAATCAGTTCTGGAGGGATGTATTTTCAGAGTAAGAGGAACATTCACTCTTTTTTCTCTTTGCATAGCCTTTCTCCTTACAAAGAAGGAGAATTTTGCTTTCTTTTTCTGCTCTGTAGTTGTGAGTGCCGAAGAATCTGATGTTACATGAAAAGTATACAGGCTCAAAGTTTCTGCTCAGGAAAATTACCTTCCTTAGCCAATTTTCAAAGAGAAACTCAATTAATGAGCATTTGATAGACAGGGTGTGAAGGAGGGCACTTTTTGAAAGCAGTGTGTCCATGATTCATCATCCTTTATTAAAAGAAGACCAAAGACATTCTTCTTAAAGATTTCTCCTTATTAGCTGCTCCTTATTATTCAAATCTGACCTTGCCAATATAATGTAGCATTTTGGGAAAAAGATCAAAACCAGCAATCCAGCACTGGAGGCGAGGATGGAGAAGATCTCCACAGCCACCATGTATTTCCCCTTGGTGCTCAGATAGGTGGGCACAAAGGAAAACCAAACACTGCAAAAGACCAACATGCTGAAGGTGATCAGCTTGGCTTCATTGAAACTGTCTGGTAATTTCCTGGCAAGGAAAGCCACAAGGAAACTGCTCATGGACAAGAAGCCTAAAAAGCCTAAGACAGAGTAGAACATGATAGTGGATCCATCATTACATTTCACAATTATCTTGTCAGCCATTGAGTTCATGTCAACATCTGGGAAGGGAGGAGAGGTGGCCAGCCAGACAGCACAAAGGCTGGCTTGGATCAAAGAGCAGAAAATAACAATGGAGGTGGCCATTTTCCATCCCATCCATTTCCTCATCCTGGACCCTGGTTTGGTGGCCATGAAAGCACAAACCACCATAATGGTTTTGGCTAAAACACAACCAACTGCCACTGAGAAGATGAGTCCAAAAGCTGTTTGTTGAAGGAGACAGGCCACTTTTCCAGGCTGTCCAATGAAGAGCAGAACACAAAGGAAGGAGAGCATCAGGGAGACGAGGAGGGTGTAAGAAAGGTTCCGGTTGTTGGCTTTGACTATTGGAGTGTCCTTGTACTTAGTGAATATCCCAAGTACCAACGCTGTGATGAGAAAAAGAAGAAAAGCAGAGCTAGCTAGACTGATCCCCAAAGGTTCTTCAAAAGACAAGAAGCTTACATCTTTGAGAAGGCAATCATTTCTCTCCTTGTTTGGATACTGACCTTCTTGGCAATGGAAACAATTATCCATGTCTAGAAAAGAAATACTGGGTTTAAAATATTTATTGCACTATAAGAAATAAGTTTAAAATATTTATTGTACTGTAATAAATAAGGCTGAATATTAAAATGAATCAGGGCTTTAAACTTTTTACTGCTGACTGAAAGAGAGATATCCTTCTTTAAGCATACCTATGCACATTCAAATGCTTTTCCAGGCATGCCCAGCTGTGAAATGAAACAGTTCTTCGGGATGCCCGTATTAAAGCGCATAATATGGTGTTAAGGACACAATTCAAATGCCTTTTTTCAGTTCCTCAGCCTTGCTTTCGGCAGCTTTTGTACAAGTGTGACATTTTTGACTCTACACTTTAGACAAGTAACTGTATGTCAAGGTATTTGGACATTCACAAACATAATGGCATGAAGCATTCCTAAAATTCAATCTTTACACTGCATTTACATGAGATAGGCTATTTTTGGTAAAAACAAACAAAAACTTAAAACTGCAAAGTGGAAAGATTTACCATACACAAATACTACCCATCGCCATCTTACAACTGGGAAAAACTACTTGGTTAACAGAAAAATACATTTTAATATAAGGATGCTCCCTTCAGTTTGGCACTGTTAAGCCCCATCTTTAGTATCATGTCGAGTTCTGGACATCACGCTTTAAGAATGTTAGCAACAACTGGAACAAGTTTAGAGGAGAGTAACAAGGATAATCAGTGAGTAGCAAGGATAACCGTATGGGGAAAGACTTAGAGAAGTGGGCATGTTTAGACTTCAGAAAAGAAGACTGAGTGGTGATATGATAGCATTATAGAAATACTTGAAAGTTGTCTGTTCAACACTTTGTACCTGTTAGAGCAAAATGACAGTGGAACCAATGACCTCAGTGAGCACCCCAACATTGGAGGCAGTCAAGAGAAAATTGGACACCTATCAGAAATGCTTTTATTTGGATCCCTGTAATGAACATGGGCTGGATTTGATGACCTTGTAGGATCTTTCCAACTCCACTCTTCTATGAGTCTATGATTCTAAGTAATCATCTAATGATGTCCTCAAGAAGAAAGAAGTCAACCACTGAAAAAGATGAGCATTTACATTAATATTAGGAACAACAAATATCACTCGGCTTGGGAGATGCAGTCCTGGAGATAGCTTGAACCCAAGTTGTTTGGGGCTTTTTAGGTTAAAATCAGCACTTTTGAATTGTGCCCAGAAATGGATCAAAAATCAGTAGTACTACTACTACTACTACTACTACTACTACTACTACTACTACTACTACTACTACTACTACTACTACTACTACTACTACTACTACTACTACTACTACTACTACTACTACTACTACTACTACTACTACTACTACTACTACTACTACTACTACTACTACTACTACTACTACTACTACTACTACTACTACTACTACTACTACTACTACTACTACTACTACTACTACTACTACTACTACTACTACTACTACTACTACTAATAATAATAATAAGTAGTAGTAGTAGTAGTAGTAGTAGTAGTAGTAGTAGTAGTAGTAGTAGTAGTAGTATAGGTGGACCTGCTTACCATTCTGGTTGGTAATTTCCCCCTCTGGACATGGAAAGCAATCATAACAACAAAATGGCTTCCTTTCTTTCTCGATCTTCCTGTAACCCGCGGGGCAATTGCCATTACAGAGAGAAAGGGGCTGTACCTGTTCAAAAAGGCAAAAGGAGAATATGTTGTCTTTTGTATATCAATTATCATCCTGTTTTCTGAGACGCTCTCCTATTTTGCTTTCTCCACAGCAGAGTTGGGATGCCTCCATTTGGAATTTAGGAAGGGAGACGAGATTGTATGACGCTGGAAGTTTTTCTTAGCACATGTTGGCTAAATGGACTGTGATGGGCAACCTCACTCAGTGTCAGCAAGGAGAAGCTGATTGGCTGGGGCTGAGCCAATCATGACTCAGCTGGTGGGTTTAAGGAAGAAAAACGGAGTCTGAGGAGGAGACAGTTGGCAGAGGAGAGGAGGGGGGTTGGGGGCAGCTGATCCATGGCTTGCCAGCAGAGTAGTGTGGATTTCCATTCCTGTCTTTTTTGTCCTTTTGGGAGTCATGTATTCGTATTTCCTTACTATTACCTTAAAATGTTTACCTCAGGAAATAGTCAAACTGATCTTAATACTTGTTTCTGTGTCCAGGCTAAGCTTGTACAAAAACTCCTTACTTTACCCTAAATTCTTACAATAAATTCAGGAGACTATTGCATTGTTTCTGTGTCCAGGCTAAGCTTTTACAAAAACTCCTTACTTTACCCTAAATTTTTACAATAAATTCAGGAGTCTATTGCATTAATGGTAGTTAGCTCAGCCAGCCTTTCAGCAATTCTCTTACCACTTTTACCTCAAACTTTTACCTCAGAAAACTGCTCTGCTGGCTTAAGCTTTCTTTGTCCAGTGTCTCCTTACGTTACCCAAAAGGTTTACCTCAAGAGAACGTTGCTTAATTAACTTGGTCCTCCTCCAGCCTGATTCTCCTACCATTTACCTTAAAATGGTACCTCAAAGAATCATGTTAGCTGACAGGGCATCTGACCTTTTTGAAATAACTTCCTGAGTTAGAATTGCTAACCACCAGATCTATAAATCCACCTAGGATTTGCCCAAGACCACTTCAGGAGCACCAAAATCGTCTTCAGATCTTTGGATTCTGCTCCTCTACTTTGGATTTTTCTTAGACCTCTCCTGGCTTTAAAAATAAAAATAAAACTTCTTCTGGATAGTTCACATCCTGTTGCTGCCACCAAAATATGTGACCAGCCCACTTGGCTAATCACTTTTCCAATTCTCAAGTACCTTTGCTGGGCTATTCGTAACCCCAAAACATAAGAGCTAAATGGATTCCATTGTAAAAGAAACAATCATGTATTTTATTTTATGAAGCATAATGGTTACATGGCAGAATTCTTAATCATGCAGTTTCTTGTGTCTTAAAGAATCAACTTTCTAATTAATAACAAGTTCTTTGTGAACAATGTAACTACGATGGACAATTCTCTTCTGGAAACCCACACTACTATGCTGCTAAATTATATATCAGCTTCCTTCTACCCCCCCTCCACTGCCAACTCTCTCCATCTCAGACTCCCTTTTTCTTCCCTTGAACCAACCTGGGGAATTGTGATTGGCTCAGCCCCGGCCAATCAGCTTCTCCTTGCTGACACCGAGTAAGGCTGCATATCACAGAATTCAGACACATTTAAGCTAGATAAAATTGGAATAGAAAAATATCTGAAAATTTTAATTTTCACACTCCCCAATTTTTTAAATCTTGAGTTCTCTTGTTGGTGGCTGGCCATGAAACCGCTCCAATCTAACCTGATCTCAAGGCGAAGCAAGGAATTTTGACTCAGCCCCGGCCAATCAGCTTCTCCTTGCTAACACCGAGTAAGGCTGCATGTCACAGAATTCAGAAACATTTAAGCTAGATAAAATTGGAATAGAAAAATATCTGAAAATAGAGGTCAGCACTATATCTCAACAATGAATTATGTCCTGAATGCCAGGAAGAGGACTCATAGAGCCATATACTTGTGTTGAACCTTACCTGGTTAAACCTGCTGGGCCATATAACAGCTTCTTCACAAATAGTGAATGTTTCTTCTTGATAAGCCATGGGGTCTGTTCCTCCAACTTTGACTTTAAGAAAAGACTGGTTTGGGAAAGTGACCCAGTTGATAATGTCAAATCCTGCCTCTAATTCTCCATGTTGGTTGAAGGAGATTTTTGCTCCAGCTCCATTATTAAAAGAAATGCTTTGCAAAAAGTGGTTGAGCTGAATTGGAACACGAAAGATGATACAAGGTGTGAGAAAAAAGAGATAGAAATACACAGAGAGAATCGGTTATGATGATCTTTCCTACTTGTGAGGTTTAGGTCGTAAGCCTATTAATGCTTTAGAAATTCTGCTTAAAAATTGCTTTCAATAAGGCTTGGTATGATGTACTCTAGTATCCGTAACTGAGCCACAGAAGGATAATACTATGGGACCAAAAGCAAAACCCAGCTATAGAACAGTTAGGGACTTATTTATTTTTATTTATTAGTTTTATTTATATGCCACATTTCCCTCAACAAGGGACCCAAAGTGGCTTATATCGGGATATCATATTTCTTACTACAAAATGTTAAACATTAGAAGTACCTTTCCAAACACTGCCAATAAAAATGTGTAAATGTCGGTTCATGATGACAATGACGAAGTCGCTACAAAGCCCACAGGGCTTTGCGTGGCGTAAGTGAGCCTTGCTCCCTTCCATGGTTAGTGCAAGACTTACTGGGTCAGAACGTGATGTAATTGAAGAGCTGGAGAATGCCCCCAGCTATATATAAAAAGGGCGTTCTCCTCATTAACTGTTCTCTTCTTTCGAAGGCACCCACCCACGTACCCCTTTTTCTAGTGTGAGTTTTTCTGGGTGCTTTTTAAACTGGAGAATGCCCCCAGCTATATATATAAAGGGTGTTCTCCTCGTTAACTGTTCTCTTCTTTCGAACCCGCCCGCCCCTTTTTCTAGTGTGAGTTTTTCTCGTGTTTTTTAAAGGGGCCGGATAGGAATTTTTGACCTTTATCCTGATTGGCTTTTGGATGGGGGGATTTTTTTTGCCTATCCCACACTGGTCAGGGCTGTTGGCAATTTTATGGTGGAAAGTTTGGTCACACTGGCGGGTAGTGTGGAAAAAACAGGTATTTCTCCGTGAATCCCACTTTAAGATCAGGTAAACTAACAAGCGCATTGGATTTCCCAGGACTGCGAATCGTGCGATTCAGTACCTGGGTGGGAAAGATGCGCTGGGCCACTTCCAGACCAACAGTCATCAATTAAAGATGGCTCGAGGTCTAGGGGTGTTTTATTAGCGGCCAGCCGGGTTCCTGCTGTCATGAAGACTGCGAGAACCTGAGGCCAGGGACTCACCTGTATGATGACTGATTTATCTGTTTCCGCACTACAGCAGGACCCCCTTTGCCAATTGATTGGCAACAAATTTTTATTTGAAATGATTATCAATGGCCGCCCCTATGGAGGATTTTTGTTTAAGGTTAGTTTTGAAGCCCATAGGAACGCATTAATGGCGTTTTAATGCGTTTCTATGGGCTTTTTAATATCGCTTAGCAATGAAATTGCTTAGCAGCGATTTTTGCTGCACGGATTAACATCGCTAAGCGAGGCACCACTGTAGAAGGAAGCTGATGTACTGTCATTCACAATATTATACGCTACAAGGCATAACTGGCAACAGTGTGGCCCATGATTTAATCCATATCTAACTGTCTAGCATCTTTATTCCGGGGTTGCGGGGCAAAAATATCCTGCAACAATGGGAAGGAACAATTTAATTCTAAAGATGTACATCATTGATTATTTTATACTCCCAGTATGATTATCCTTCTTTCCTTCCTTCCCATGTTGTTCTGGATGTGATAAGGTCTTTTTCAATAGCTGCTCCTAGGCTTTCGAATACACTGCCCCAAAGTTGAGTTGCCTCCCTCCCTCTTGGCCCTCTCTCATAAGGAAAAGTCCTTTTTAGGTAGGCTTTTAAACAGTAAGTGGGATTCTAGAGAATGCTGCATTTAACAAATTTAGTTATGCTTTTAAAATGGTTTTCAATCTTGGTTTAAAATTGATGGATGGATGGATGGATGGATGGATGGATGGATGGATGGATGGATGGATGGATGGATGGATGGATGGATGGATGGATGGATGGATGGATGGATGGATGGATTTAAATAGTTTTTGTATTGTATTGTAAACCAGTTGCATTATATAGTTTTATTTTTGTGAGTGGCCTTGGGTCTTTCATGGGGTGAAAAGCAGCATATAAATAATATGAACAAGTAAATAAATGAATATACACTAGCAACATTTCTCACCCTTGGGAATTTTCCTTATTTCAAAATCTCAGCTCTCCCAAACGAGACTTCTCCCAGCACCTTCAAGACCTCCTGATTACCCAGGAAAACACAAGCTTCATCGCCTTTTTTCCTACTTTTTAAATTTTTGCCTCTTGCTTCTTCCAAACTTTGCTGTGCTTAATACTTTTTCTGGGGAATCCAGCACAAGAAAGATAGTATCCTGCACAGGAATTCTAACAATTCTGCACAACTTGGCTTCTTTGCTACACTTTCCTAAAATGCCAACACAATAATCCTGTGCGTATTGACATTTTTTTCCTCCGGGAAGATGACTACAAAACTTCTGAGAAGTCCCTCAAAATTTCCCATTAGATATTTAAAGAAAAAAAATAAACTAAAATAAAAGTACAAACATGAGAATTAAGAAAACATTACATTTAAAAATAAGTACTGGAGGGTAAATAATACATTCCTAATGAAGAAAAAACTAAAAACAAAAAACCCCAGCCAAAAATATGTGAAAAGTAGTTGGCAAAATCCTTTGCTGGCCATTATCTGTTACTGAAACGGTAGGAGACAGGGGTGAACTTATCCAATGATTGGTGTAAAGTGCAGTTAGCCCTTGGTAGAACATCAACTTCTGCTTCACCCTTGGATTTCTTTTCCTTTTCTACCCTTTTGTTTGTCTCAACATTCATCACTTTGTGCATTCAAGAACTTACCTGCCATGGTTGCTTCATCAGAACTTTCAGTCTTGATTCATCCAGCTTTCTTTGGTGTTTCGACTGAGAGGAATGCATCTCCTGCAAAGCGTGTGCCAAAGCATAGATGGCATTGTAGATGCTGTAGCTTTGACTAGTCATTTTCGTTTCAAAAACAGATGTAGGCAGAGACTCCAACTTCTCTTTCCCACTACAAACTGGCCAAGATGGGCTGTCTCTCCCGGAGGTGGAGAATAAACATTGGAATGCTTGTTCCCAGAAGATTCGGATAAAGCCATCATCCTTTTCCAAGACAGGATTCCAGGTCCGAAGAAAATTCTGAAATCTTGGTACAGGCTCATAATGAACAAAAAAGGATAGAGAACCGTGGATAAAGTTCATGTCTGAACTTCTTTCAAAGGGAAGGGAGGTAAAGTCCATTTCAAGGGTCATAATCCAGACTTTCCCGTCTGTCTTCATTGAATTATTCTCATCATTTGAGAGATAGGGAAGCATTCTCAAAAGCGTCATGGTATGGATCTGACCATGAAGGATCACTACAGTAGCAGTACTGCTCATGATAGCATTGTAAGATCTGCTCCCCTCTGCTATCATGTCAGCAATATTATTGGAATAGGAGAGTAGTGGGGCTTTTTCTATGAAAGCAAAGCAGATGCCTACCTGGGCAAATTTGGGGAGTATCTCATTGTTGAACCTCTCTCCATTATCATCATTCATTTTCACCACCCCAATCCATGTCCATCTAAAATGCAGCAACAGTTGAAGAATACCTTTATACTGATCGTCCACATTTGGGAACACCTGGTGATAGAAATTAACCTGGGGGTTTTCTTTTACCGATGGAGCAGATCCATAGATGAACTAAAGGAAGTAAAGGGAAATGAGAAGAGAACAAGACATAGTTATTTTGTTTAAATATTTTTTCCTAAACTGTGGTAGCAAAAAAAAAAAATTAAAAGAACAAATAAAATATATTTGATGTTATTAAAAACAAATAGAAAAATGGATTTCATTTTCATACTTGTAACTATGTGATCCTTTAAAGAAATTCCTACTTTTCATTGTTTCCCTACTAGCAGTGTCTTGATAAGCAACTGACGTTTCACAATAAAGAAGGATGAAAGCAACACCTAGGCCTTTACTTCCTTTTTATTATTTTTTCTGTCTTGAAAACACAATGGAATACATTGTTAAAGAGCTGGGAGGATATGTTTTAATCTCCCATTTCCTCTCCCCATATTTTACCTGTGGGAGCTTGAAGCTGCGCAGAATGGTAGCCATAAAGGTGCTGACTTCAGAGTTAGGTCCTCCAATCACCGCTATTAGATTGTTCCGAGGGTCGCAGTTGTAATTAGGGAAGAATCTGCCTTTTATCGATAAAATTCGCAGTGCAGCATGGTAAGTCCAAGTGGGAAGGAAATGGCTGTTATAGATCTGGAAGCCGAGGGTGACATTGGATAAAATCCGGGGGTTTTCATTGATTTCCTGGACAGCAAATACCAAGGAGAGGATGTGCTGGTAGAGGTGAATCATGAATCTGAAAAGAGAGTTGCATGCTGCATTGCCGTGTATTTTATTGAGAATAATTTCCTACATCTCCCCCTTCGTGGAGCAGACGGTTGGTCTCAATGACCTTATAGGTCCCTTCAAATAAATGATTCTATGTTTCTTTCATTTTGAAATATTGTACACGTTGTTCCCACTGAAGTGTGAAGAATCGTGGTATTTGATATCTGCCTTAATTCTCACTAGTTTCTTAATGGTGCTGTTTAAAAAATACTAATAACTGAAGGTTGTCGTTTCTGAAACGTTCTGCATCTGCTCCTGACTAATGGACAAAATTTATTTCGTTACTGAAGTAAATTGCACTACATTAAGCATAATGAACCAATGAGGATTTAGTGAGTCAACTCCTCGCTGAATTCCACATGTGCTACTGACAATTGAGAAGCTTTAGACCAGTGGTGTCAAACTGTGGCCCTCCAGATGTTCTTGGCCTTCAACTCCCAGAAATCCTGGCCAGCAGAGGTGGTGGTGAAGGCTTCTGAGAGTTGAAGTCCAAGAACATCTGGAGGGCCACAGTTTGACACCACTGCTTTAGACAAAAGGACTGGACACAAATGTTTAGAATGGAAGATACATAGTTAGTTTTCCTCTAAAGGAGAGGAAGGAGAAACAAATGGGGGAAAGGATCATTCACTCAACATTGTTACAAAAGGATCATACACCAAATATGCAAGATATGATTCCAATCATTCTCTCCCCACACAATCCTTAAACAAAGAACGATGGTTATCTTTCTTGTGAAGGAAAAAAAACCTACACCAAATCCTCGAGATGGTCAATAGTGGGACGCTCTGTGAAAGTAATCATGGCAGAGAACTGATAGATCTGAGACATAATGGCACCAATACTGATGTCTCCTGACTGGTAACGCTTGTGAAGAATTGGAAGAGGGTTGCTGATGCTGCATTTCGTGACAAGAAGGTTGCAAACCGCCTGAGGTAATAGCAGAGAAACCACTGCTGCAATCACCATTGCTCTCATTGGAATAAGTCCACCTGCGAGCACATTCACCGGCCCCCACATTCTCTTTGAATCGTCTGCTGAATGAACACACACACACTCGGTAGATGTGAGGCTCACAATGTGTGCCAAACATTCTCTGTCCACAGAGTGACCTAGCTCTTGAGTAGCTACTCAATGCAAGCCTAGCTAGAAATGGCAGATAAATATTCATAGCTCCCTTCATCTGCATTTGTCATTTTGCCGACAGTCCTTTGGGGCTTATAGGTAAAGCAGAAATCAACATGGTTAAACTCCAAATTACAGTGGAGATGATGACTTGACCAGGTTTGCAATTCTTATGAAAAATTGAATAAGAAAACATGTTTATCACGTTGTGGTAAAAATATGTTCTGGTCCTCTTCATGGAGACACCAGGAGACTCAGGTGCTCGTATCCTGTTGGGGTTAAGGAAGATAACAGCCCAGTGTGGCATGGAACTAGATTCGTGCCAACATGGATACTTTGCTTTTCGTTGAGCTACTTGCAAGAGGGGACACCAAGAAAGGTCATTGGGAGAAATAATGTCTGTGCTGCCGCTTTTCTGAACTTGGTCAAACCGGTTTGTGCGCCTCTCTAATCAGTTCATTCCAGTTTGTCCCATCCCATAAAGGTAGCAGCACAGCTGTTACTGCTCCCCTTCACCCACCTCCTTTGGCTCAATCCGCCTCTCATGAAGCCCTGCCTCCCTGACCTTCAGTGATCTTCCAGTTCTGGCAACAGCTCAGGCTTATCTGCCCCACCCTCTTGGCCGATCCCCCATTCAGACAAAATGGCGGATAAAACTCTGCTCTTGCTGGTGACTGGGAGATTAACTGAGGTGGTGGGGAAAGCAAGCAAGCCGAGCCTGGTTGGTTGCTTGATTGCCTGAGGAGATGGGGAGCGGAGCAGCAACACCTCTGCTGCCACCTTTATGAACTGGAATAAACTGGGATAAACCGGTTCATGCCCCTTGCTAATTGGTTCCCAGAATTGCAGCTCCAGAGTAGACCAATGGTTTTTAGTCCTGCATCAGCCATGAGCTCAACTTAGTACTCTTTCCTCACGAAAGAGGGAAAAACTTCTCCACCTCAGTCTGGCCACGTTCCTCCATTTCCCATCTACTCTTTCTTTCCGTTTTTGTATGTGCTGGAAGGCTTCCCCTTTTGTGCGGAAATCTGTGCATTTTTTAACCCGTGCTTGTAATTTCCAGCCTAACTCTGCTTTACACAAGCTGTCCATTCTCTGTAAACCATGCTTCTGTTTGTGTGTGTGTGTGTTTGTTTTAAAAAATGTGTACATTTACGAGCCACATTCATGTTGAAATCTCCACATTTTGCATAGACTTTAGTTCTCTCAAGGATTCTCTTAGTGAATGTACCAAGCTACAGTACATGGGTGGCCCTAGTGGGGGGCAAGTGAGTGGCAAGGAAATGCTGGAGTGTTGCCCCACATTGTTGGGCTGGTGGGAAGAGAGTGCCTTATATAAGACAGTCCAATGCGGAGCCTGTCCTGTTTTCTTTTACCCATTTGGAAGAGGAGAGAGGCTTTCAACTAGGAGAATGGTTCGTACATGCAGGACCAATTTTTGCAGGCAGTGGCCTGCAGCTTCTCTGACAGCTATTGCTAACTACGAATGAGGTTCTTTAGATGGGTGACGGTACTTGAACACTGCATTTGGTTTGTGGGCCCAGGTCCTCAGCCGTTTGTGGCTCTTTGCCTTTGAGGGTTCATTCTATATATGAAGCATCTCTAGGGAATATTCCATATTCTATCATACATTTGTTACTTTTACACCACAGGTTCTGAAGAAAAGAGGTCCCTGCTCGTGTGCAGGACTGTTGTCTCCAGATCAAGTGGTCTATCGACTAGATAGGCGGGATATAAATAAAATAAATAAATAAATAAATGCTATAACAGACAATGAGAATGGGATAGCAAAAGAAATCCAGTAGTAAGTTGCAACAAGAGTACGGCCAATAAATTAATGGATTCTTACGGAGGAGTTGGTTAGAGTCTAATTAAGTTCTATTAGAGAGGCAAGGGTTCAGAGGCTTAGATTTGGATATATAAGAAATCATTTTCTTTGTTAAGCCTAGAGAGGGGGGCTGTTGTGACATATTCCCTGGGAGATATATCCTAGCTCCACTGTGTCAATATTGTGTTGCCATACACAGCATCCAGCATCCAAAATCAGTTATGGAGGGATGGGATGTGTTTTCAGAGTAAGAGGAGCAAACTCTCTTCCTACTCTGTACATAGCCATTCTCTTCACAAAGGAGACTTCTTGCTTTCTTTTTCTGCTCTGTAGGTATGAGTGCCAAGGAATCTGATGTCACATGATAAGTATAGGGGCTCAAAGTTTCCGCTCAGGAACATAATCTTCCTCATCCAAATTTCAAAGAGAAACTCAGCTTATGGACATTCGAGATACTTTGTTAAGAGTTATTGTGCATCGCAGTGATGGAGTGTGAGGGACATATATGATGTAATGGGTAATAAAGTAATTGAGAATGGGAAAAGAAAGGAAAGAAAATAAACATATCCTTTGCAAGTATATGATTCATTCAGTCTATGCCCTCATCACCAGGAAACCTTTACTGAATAAAGACCATTAACATTCGAATTCTTAATGCTTTTTTCTTATCAGCTTCTTTCTGTTGTTCAAATCGGACCTTACCAAAATGATGTAGCATTTTGGAAAAAAGATGCAAAACAGCAATCCAGCACTGGAGGCCAGGATGGAGAAGATCTCCACAGCCACCATGTATTTCCCCTTGGTGCTCAGATAGGTGGGCACAAAGGAAAACCAGACACTGCAGAAGACCAACATGCTGAAGGTGATCAGCTTGGCTTCATTGAAACTGTCTGGTAATTTCCTGGCAAGGAAAGCCACAAGGAAACTGCTCATGGACAAGAAGCCTAAAAAGCCTAGGACAGAGTAGAACATGATAGAGGATCCATCATTACATTTCACAATCATCTTGCCAGCCATCGAGTTCATGTCAAGATCTGGGAAGGGAGGAGAGGTGGCCAGCCAGACAGCACAAAGGCTGGCTTGGATCAAAGAGCAGAAAAGAACAATGGAGGTGGCCATTTTCCACCCCATCCATTTCCTCATCCTGGACCCTGGTTTGGCGGCCATGAAAGCACAAACTACCATAATGGTTTTGGCTAAAACACAACCAACTGCCACTGAGAAGATGAGTCCAAAAGCTGTTTGCTGAAGGAGACAGGCCACTTTTCCAGGCTGTCCAATGAAGAGCAGAACACAAAGGAAGGAGAGCATCAGGGAGACGAGGAGGGTGTAAGAAAGGTTCCGGTTGTTGGCTTTGACTATTGGAGTGTCCTTGTACTTAGTGAATATCCCAAGCACCAACACTGTGATGAAAAACAGGGAAAGAGCAGAGACAGCTAGACCGATCCCCAAAGGTTCGTCAAAAGACAAGAAGCTGATGCTTTTGAGAAGACATTCATTTCTCTCTTTGTTTGGGTGTTGATTTTCTGGACATTCAAAACAGTCATCCATGTCTAGAAGAGAAGTATCAGTTAACTGGTGTACTATCTGGACATTCGAAACAGTCATCCATGTCTAGAAGAGATGTATCAGTTAATTGGTGTACTGATCTAAATGTTGAACCATTGTGAATCAGGACTTCTAGCTTGAAACCTGAAAAACAAATCCTTATTTGCGAGATACCATAACCATGCATGCTGTAGAGTTTAAATCAATTTTCCTTTTAAAGCAAATTTATGTAATTTAATCTGCATCTTCGAATAAACCCCTGGTCTATCATTCAGAGCATTAAATCCAGAGCTGAAGGCGGGTCCTCCCAATTCAGAAAGCTCCCTGTCACACTCCCATTCTCACCCTGTTTGTGATACTAGCCATACAATAGAAAGCTTGATGGAGGGGGAAGACCCATATGTACTTATAGTGTAGGCAATAGGCTACATGTGATTTTTTAAAAAATCAAAATACAAGATTTTGGCTTTAAAAATGCCCACTTTTCATACAAGTATGCCAGACTGTTCCAAAAAGTCACACAAAACAATTATGAAAATGAAGTAAATAAATAGCAACATACTTGGTGTACATCCAATGCATGGAAAACTTTGTCTGCTTACCCTTCTGGTTGGAAATTTTCCCTTCTGGACATGGAAGGCAGTTGTAACAACAAAATGGCTTCCCTTTTTTCCCGGCCTTTCTGTAACCCACATGGCAAGGGTCATTGCACAGAGACAGGGGCTGTGCCTGTTCACAAACAAAAGAGGGGAATACTTTCTATTTTTCTATTTCCATTGCGATTCTGTTCCCAGAGAAGCCACTGTGTTCTGCTTTCTCTGCATTTGAAGTAGACAGCCTACATTTGGAGTTTATGTACGGAGGCAACGGGAAGATTGTATGAAGCTGAAAAACGTGTCTTGTACTAGTTGGTCGATGGGAGGCAGAGCTAAAACACATATTCAAAGCTAGCTGAGATGGGAATGTAAAAACATCTTCCTGTTTTGACTCACTACACTTCCTTTTTTTAATCTAAAGTTCTTTGCCTCCTGGATGTGAAGGAATTTGGGAGTGCTCCCTCTGAAAATGAAATGAAACAGAATTCTCCTTCCTTACATTCCCATCATCTAAATTCAACAAGTATAATTGTCCCCAGCATGGGGAGCCCCCTGTTCTCCCTGCCTGCCATATATGTGCTAAAGGGGAGGAGTAGAGATGGCTTCAAACTGAACTACGGACCAATAAAGAACTCGCAATCCACAACCCAGTTCGTGGTTCAATTTGTGGATCCTATTTTCCCGAAACAAAATGACACACAAATTTTTGTTTCTTCTACTAGATACGCTGTTTTGCTTCTGCATAACAGATGCACTCCTGCCTCTTCCGGCGGCCACCAATGCCCCCCTACCTAGTCCTGCAACATCCTCCTCTTCCTCCTCCATCACCAATTCAGAGACAAAAACATGGCGTTCCTTCCAGGAGCTGGACCTGCTGCCTTTGCACATGCGCAAGCCTATCAGCGTGCGGCAGTACCAGGCAGGGAGGCAATGGGGCAGTGGGAAGGTGGCAGGTGGGCAGCTGGGAGAAGGGATGGAGACATTAGGTTCCTCTCCCACAGCACAAATCGGAAAAAGCAAACCACAAATGGGTTCATCTCTCTGGGTTCCGGGGGGTGGTTGTGGTTCGTGATTCGTCATTTTTCCAGTTCGTGCCCATCTCTAGTGAGAAGCCTCACATAGTGGGCAGGTGTATGTCTATGTGTGTGTGGCCATTCACTGTATGGTGGATTATATAAGGATCCCAATCCAGACGTTTAAGATAGGTATTGGGCCTTGTCAGAAATATAAGTTTCCCCCAGCTATCTTTATCTTGCTTTTGCATTCAAATTGGTTGAGGCAAACTCTTGTCCCTCTTTGCACTTTAAATGTGAGCGACAGTCCAGTTGAGATTGTTGTTTCACCTGTGTCACTTGGCCATGTTATTTCAATAAAGTCAGGTAAGGATTTGACCCAATTCCAGGAGGCCGTGGAAGACAGGAGGGCCTGGCGTGCTCTGGTTCATGGGTCACAAAGAGTCAGACATGACTTAACGATTAAACAACAACAACAAAGGAGGAAGTAGTAGCCCTGGTAAATATTTATTGGACTATTTTGGGAGGACCAGTAATCTGACCCTGACTCAGTGATGCACAACTAAGATGAGTGGGTGATTGGGCCACAATTCTATGGCTCCTGTTTGCAGGGGATGAGGAGGTAAGAACTGTAATACAACGATTGATTTTTAAGAGGTCAGCCTATTCATGGGTAGGACTTCACTGTGTCCAAATTTAATTAATTAATTGATATGCCGCCCACATTACCCAAAGGTCTCTGGGCGGCTTACAACATTTAAAATACACAGAACAATTAATATATATATATAAATTTTCATCAGACCCACAGCTAATATTATTTCACTTAAAAGCCTTCTGGAACAGGAAGGTTTTGACCTGGTGCCGAAATGTCATCAGCGTCGGTGCCAGACGAATCTCACTCAGGAGGGCATTCCATACTCTGGGGGCAGCTGCCGAAAAGGCCCTTTGTCTACAAGCCGTCCCTCTTACCTCCTGGAGGGACGGCTCTTTCAAAAGGGCCCCCTGGCTAGATCTTAACTGCCAGGTAGGCTCATACGGAAGGAGGAGGTCCTTCAGGTATCCAGGGCCCAAGCTGTTTAGGGCTTTCTATGTCAAAACAAGCACTTTGAATTGGGCCCGGGCAGCAACTGGTAGCCTATGTAGCTTAACCAGAATCGGCTTGATATGTTCCCTAGCGGTCATACCACTCACCAGCCACGCCGCTCGATTCTGGACCAGTTGCAGTCGCCGGACCGTCTTCAAAGGCAGCCCCACGTAGAGCGCATTGCAGTAGTCTATGCGGGATGTTAACAGTGCGTGTGTAAATTGAATTGGGCCCGGGCAGCAACTGGTAGCCTATGTAGCTTAACCAGAATCGGCTTGATATGTTCCCTAGCGGTCATACCACTCACCAGCCACGCCGCTCGATTCTGGACCAGTTGCAGTCGCCGGACCGTCTTCAAAGGCAGCCCCACGTAGAGCGCATTGCAGTAGTCTATGCGGGATGTTACCAGTGCGTGTGTAAATGATGGACTCCGTCTTGAACACTGAGATCCATGTGTCTATGTTGGACCCTACCTGGTTAAAGCTGTTTGGCCAAACAATCGCTTCTTCACAAAGGCTGAACATTTCTTCTTGAGAAGCCATAGGGTCTGCTCCTCCAACCTTCACTCTTAGAAAGGATTGGTTTGGGAAGGCGACCCAGTTGATAATATCTAAAGTTGTTTCTAGCTCCCCATGTTGATTGAAGGAGACTTTGGCTCCAGCACTGTTATTGAATGAAATGCTTCTCACAAAATGGTTGATCTAAATAGAAAATGAAAATAATACATGATGAGCAATTTGTAAGGTATGTGACAGGATAGTGAATCCTTTCTGCTTGTGATATTTAGGTGGAGAATCACTAAATGCTTTAGGAAACCTGCTGAGGAAGTTGCTGTTAGAAAGACTATCTATGATATGGGCAGTCACTTATAACAGGCGCAATACAATGATGCTTTGGCACTGAAAGCAATTCTCAAGCTAGATTTCCTCCTGATTTCAGAATTTCCAGATTTTCATGACAATGAGAGCCTAGTCTCCCCATTTCCTTTTAAAAGTTTTTTTTAAAAACACACTGTACTAATTTTTTCATTGAAGCCTGCTCTGGAAAGACTATCTTGCAGAGAAATTGCAATGGTTCTTAATATCTTGCCATTAAATGGGTTGCCTGCAAATTCCAGCAATGGATTCACAATAATCCTACATAGATAGACATTTCTGTTGATGGGCAGGATCAATTTCCTCATGTTTTCTTTCTATTTTTTATTGGACAAGCTGCCTTCTTCTAGAACACTCTACTGATAGAGGAGGTAGAAAGACACCTATGCCTCTTGCACCCTCGTGGGATCACACCTAGAAGGCTTTGGATACCTTCCAAACCTTCCTAAGCTTTCAGTCCAGCACTGAAAATGATATCCAATTTTTTGATGCAATGATCAACTAGGACCTTGGTAGAACATCAGATTCCACCTCGGCCTGGGTTCCGTTCCTATCTTTTTTATCCCTTATCTATACTAGATCTCCTTCCTTGTTGTGTTCTCGACTTTACCTGCCATGGCTGTTTCTTCAGAAAATTCAGTCTTGCTTCCTCCACTCTTGCTCTGCCTTTGAATTGAGAGGAATGCATGTCTTGCAAAGCATGTGCCAAAGCATAGACAGCATTGTAGATGCTGTAGCTGTGACTGGTCATTTTCATTTCAAAAATGGAGGCAGGCAGAATCTCCAGCTTCTCCTCCCCAGTGCAGATTGACCGAGACTGAATGTCTCTCATTGAACCAGGGAATGAGCATTGGAACGCTTCTTCCCAGAAAACCCGGATAAAGCCGTCATCTCTTTCCAAGGTAGGATTTCGGGTCTGAAGAAAATTCTGAAATCCCGATACAGCCTCAGAATGAACTGAAAAGGATAGTGCACCATGGAGGAAGTCTATGCTTGAGCTTCTTTGAAAGGGAAGTGATGTAAAGTCCATCTGAATAGTCATGATCCAGACTTTGCCTCTTGTCTGCATTGGTGGATCATCGTATGTTGAGAATTCGTGAAGCAGTCTCAAAAGCATGATGGTATGGATTTGGCCGTGTAGAATCACTACCGTAACAGTGCTCCTCATAACAACATGGTACATTTTCATCCCCTTTCCCACCATCACAGCGATATCATTGGAGTAAGCGAGTACTGGGAAACGTTCTATGAAATCAAAGCAAATACCTTCCTCGGCAAATTTTGGCAGTATCTCATGTATGAACCTCTCTCCATCGTCATTAGTTATTTCCACCGTCCCAATCCATGTCCATCTGAAATGCAGCAGTAATTGCAGAATACCTTTATACTGATGGTTCACATTTGGGAGCATCTGGTGATAGAAAGCAGCCTGGGGATTTTCATTGACCAGCGAAGCAGAGCCATATACGAACTGAACAAATGTAAGGGATATGTCAGGGAAATGAGGAGAGAGAAAGACACAGTTCCTTTTGAAAAAACACACTCTTTATTGATAGGATTTTTTTTCCTTAGCTGTGCTAGCCAAACAAAAGTAGAAAACTATCAACGATTTCAAAATGGGACTGGACCAGATGGCATTACTGGGTTGAATTTCGCCAAGTTCTAGCATGTATTGCAATTCTTTTTTCAATTTGTTCAACATGTGCACCCACAGCCCTGTAAGGCAAAAAGCGTACAGGGGGGTGATCCTTGATGACAACTTTGTATTCAATTAAAGAGGTTCTGTCAGGTTTATTAGGGAAAAAAAACAGACTGATATCATTGAATAAGCTCTAAAAGTCTCTTTTGCTGTGATTCGGGAACCTCCGTGTTAAAATGCACTTTCTCCCAGCATTCTGAAATTCTGACAAGCCCATCGCCCTCTGAGTCCTTTACTGCATTGCATCTCAGTATTACAGCTGATCTCTCAATATAACGCTTAAGGCTGTTAGCATGATAAACATGAGGCTTTCTTTCTCTGTAGACAAAATATGTTTACAGAATGGATTGCAGCTTTAGTGAATATCGTAGACTTGAAATCATACAGATGTATTGTGTAATGCTGTAGCTCATGGCATAGATGAAGGTGTCACACCATCAAGGTATGATAAGGCACAACTAATGTGTGAGATTATCATTGAACTAGACTCTTCAAGGATTTGATCCAGCATATATTTCAAGGCAGGGTCACATTTTCCACATTATTAATGGTGATAGTGTTTTTCATTGACCATTCAGTCTATTAAAACTCAAAACACTTCACCAGCCATCTCTATTTATATATTTTATTCCCTTATTATTATTTTTAAGTATGTTTCCTTAAACAAGAAGTAAATATTTGTGTATGTTAGCTAGCTTGTTGACAATAAAACCAAAAGACAGGGAAAACTGCAAAATGGTGTTTAGATTTCTCTCTCTTGCCCAGAAGCCTGGAAATGGAACAGGTATTACCCAAATCTTGGAGACTACAGCTGAATAATTACCTGTCTAAATTGTTTACTTTCTTGGACCACATGTTGAAGCTCAAGACATTACAAGCAAATAAAAGATGGTCTTCATTTTCATGCTTTTAACTATGTGTTTTTGCAAAGAAGTTCCCATAAAGACTTGCATTTCACATCTAGTGACGTCTTGGAAAGCAACTGAAATTCCATATTAAAGAATGATAAAAGCAAAACTATTTCCTTCTTATAAGGGACGTGGTGGCACTCTAGGTTAAACCGCAGAAGCCTCTGTGCTGCAAGGTCAGAAGACCAGCCATCGTAAGATCAAATCCCCGCAATGGAGTGAGCTCCAGTCGCTTTGTCCCAGCTCCTGCCAACCTAGCAGTTCGAAAGAATGTAAATGCAAGTCGATAAATAGGTACCACCTTGGTGCGAAGGTAACAGCATTCTGTGTCTAGTCATGCTGGCCACGTGACCATGGAAGCTCTCTTCGGACAAAGGCTGGCTCTACGGCTTGGGGAAGGGGATGAGCACCATGCCCAAGAGTTCGACATGACTGGACTAAATGTCAAGGAGAACCTCTACCTATTCCCTTCTTCTGGGGGCACCTGAGACTGCGCAGCTTGCTTAAAACCACAGAGGCTGGCTCTACGACTAAATGTCAAGGAGAACCTCTACCTATCCCCCATTGCCGGAGGTCCAGTAGGGAATTGAACGTCCGAACTCTGGCTCTGCAGGCAGATACCTAAACCACTGAGTTATCTAGCAAACTTAAAGCAAGACATAGGACTGTATTTCCTTCTTAATATTTTCTGCCTTTCAAAAACAAAGGGTATCTTTAAAAAAAAACAATGCACACATCATGAGGATATATTTTAAACTCTCATTTCCTATGCCCACATTTTACCTGTGGAAGCTTGAAGTGGCCCAGAATGATAGCCATGTGGAAACTGACTTCAGGATTAGGTCCTCCAATGACGGCTATGAGGTTGTTCTGAGGATCACAGTTGTAATTAGGGGAGAATCTGCCATTTGTAGATAAAATTCTCAATGCAGCATGAAAAGTCCAACTGGGAACAAAATAGCTATTATAGATCTGGAAGCCAAGGGTGACATTGGGTAAAATCTGAGGATTTTCATTGATCTCCTGAACAGCAAAAACCAAAGACAGGACATGCTGGTAGATCTGGACAGTGAATCTGAAAGGAGAGTTATATGCTATATCACAGTGTATTCGGTTGAGAATAAAGTGCAGCCTTTTGATATGTTGTTTGTCCCAAATCCCCAAAGTAGCATGTTATTCCTGTATTTAGTTCTCACTAGCTTCTGAAGCTCAAATCAAAAATACTAAGCTCATGGCCACTAGTCCCATCACCTACTGGCAAAGAGAAGGGGGAGATATGGAGGCAGTGACAGATTTTACCTTCTTGGGCTCCATGATCACTGCAAACGGTGACAGCAGCCACAAAATTAAAAGATGCCTGCTTCTTGGGAGGAAAGCAATGACAAACCTAGACAGCATCTTAAAAAGCAGAGACATCACCTTGCCGACAAAGGTCCGCATAGTCAAAGCTATGGTTTTTCCAGTAGCCACATATGGAAGTGAGAGCTGGACCATGCAGAAGGCTAACTGCCCTAGAATTGATGCTTTTGAATTGTGGTGCTGGAGGAGACTCTTGAGAGTCCCCTGGACTGCAAGGAGAACAAACCTATCCATTTTGAAGGAAATCAACCCCGAGTGCTCACTGGAAGGACAGATCCTGAAGCTGAGGCTCCAATACTTTGGCCGCCTCATAAGGAGAGGAGATTCCCTGGAAAAGACCCCAATGTTAGGAAAGTTTGAAGGCAAGAGGAGAAGGGGACCACAGAGGATGAGATGGTTGGACAGTGTCATCGAAACAACCAACATGAATTTAACCAAACTCCGGAGGCAATAGAAGACAGGAGAGCGTGGCATGCTCTGGTCCATGAGGTCACGAAGAATCAGACACGACTTAATGACTAAACAACAACAACAAGCTTCTGAATAATACTAATTTTAAAAGATGATACTTAGCAGAAGCTTGGTTCCAGAATTTTCCAAATGTGTTCATAACATAACGGGTAAAATTCAGCTGATTAGAAAATCACCTCCGACCAATGGGAATTTAGTGAGTCGGTTCCTTCCTGTAATTCATAGATTCAAATAAACCTACTCTGATTATGACAACAGCTGTTATTATGTTCTGATTTATGGTGACTCTGTGAATGAATGAAATCCAAAATGTCTTGCCCTCAACAACCCTGCTGAGAGAATAAAATCCTCTAAATTCAGCTGATTAGAAAATCACCTCCGACCAATGGGAATTTAGTGAGTCGGTTCCTTCCTGTAATTCATAGATTCAAATAAACCTACTCTGATTATGACAACAGCTGTTATTATGTTCTGATTTATGGTGACTCTGTGAATGAATGAAATCCAAAATGTCTTGCCCTCAACAGCCCTGCTGAGAGAATAAAATCCTCCCTCGTATGACACCTTTGTTTAGCTTCCCATTCTTGTGTAACCCAGTTATTCTTGGACTATAACTTAGGAACCACTGATCTATATGAAACCATTCTGTCTCTCCATAATTTGTCCTAAGGGTAGTTTCTTGTCCACAAAACACATCACACATCAGGATAATCAAGGGGTGTGTGTGTACACCCATAGCTTCCAGAGCAACACATAGTTTCTCATGATCCACAAAGCTAAAGGCTTTGCTGTAGACTGTAAAGCAATGCCACTTATTTTATTCACTTCTCAGGCTCTGGGTACTAAACTATAAAGGACTTGTCTAAACCTATGGAGAGCAAAAAATAACACATCTTGCCAAACGAATCAATGCCGAAGGGTGTCTCTCATTAGGACGAGACTCTAGCTAGATGAATCTGGAAGTCATTTGATAGACTTAGCAGCCAAGTAGGAAGATCAAAGAATAATCAAGTAAAACTGGCAAATTTTCTGTGACTGGAGTATGCTATTATTTTTACATTCTGGGATTATTGTCCCTCCTTGCCCAAAAGGTCTGGTGGATGTACCATTTTCTTTTTGTTATAAAATTCTTAGAACTGAAGAGCTAGAAGGAACCGTATGGATCATCGACCAGCCCCTCTCAAGGAGTCACAAGGAGGGAATTGAACTCACAACCTCTGACCCAGCAAAATACCTAAAGCAGTTCTTGTGCCTTATAGGAACAATATACATTAATAGTAGAGTTAAATTGTACCAGTTTCCCCATGGAAATTGTTTCAACCTGAGATTCAATGGAAAGGCAGTCTTCATATAGATATATACAGTAGATCATGTAGGGAGCATTCGTCGTTGTTGTTTAGTCGTTTAGTCGTTTCCGACTCTTCGTGACCCCATGGACCAGAGCACGCCAGGCCCTCCTATCTTCCACTGCCTCCCAGAGTTGTGTCAAATTCATGTTGGTTGTTTCGATGACACTATCCAACTATCTCATCCTCTGTCATCCCCTTCTCCTCTTGCCTTCACACTTTCCTAACATCAAGGTCTTTTCCAAGGATTCTTCTCTTCTCATGAGATGACCAAAGTATTGGAACCTCAGCTTCAGGATCTGTCCTTCCAGTGAGCACTCGGGGTTGATTTCCTTTAGAATGGATAAGTTTGTTCTCCTTGCAGTCCAGGGGACTCTCAAGATCCTCCTCCAGCACCACAGCTTTACCACTCAATAATCAATTAGTGGTAAATGAAAAATATTAATCAGTTCACCTTCTGTGATGTCCTTATGGATGGGCATAAATTGTGACCTCTTTCTCTTTCAAACTGAGGAATTCTGAACCAAAGTTATCAATGCACTAAGAGTACTTTTGATTATGCATAATCATTCTCATTCTTATCTACTAGAATGACAACGACTGTAATACCAATACAGCAGTTCTCATTCCAGCATATGGGTATCTAATAATTCTGCATCACAATTAAGATGATGTTCTCATTCTCTAGCCAAGCACACTGGGATTTTTCTCAGAGTTCTGAGCTATGATATTTTTCTCCCAATAACTGTGGAAGCCGCACCAACATTAACTAGATTTGCTAATAATCAGTGCAAAAACTAGTGAGAACTTAAACAGCATGAAGGATTCCTTTTCATGACAAACACAGGTCTAGACATGTTCTTAATTACATAAAAGACTAGGATAAGGATTGCTTTGACCACCTTCTATAGCCATGTGCTGCATACAGTTGGGCAACTGTAGGCAATGGGACCAGCCATAAACAAATGTTTTGAATGCAATATACATGGTTGGTATTGCTTTATAGCAGAAGGAGGAGAAACAAATGACTTAAGGAGCAGTAGGATTCATACTTCATAAAAAAATGCAGTCATTCTCAAATCATTCACTAGAACTCACACTGATCTATCACACCGCCCTTAAACAAAGAAGGATAGATGTCTTTCTTGTAAGGGAAAAAACAACACTTACAAAATATCCTCAAAGAGGTCAATAGTGGGGTGGTGTCCAAAGGTTATCATGGCAGAGAACTGATAGATTTGAGACATAATGGCACCAATGCTCACATCTCCTGGCTGGAAATGCTTGTGACGAAACAGAAGAGGGTCGCCGATGCTGCATTTCGTGATAGGAATCTGGCATACCGCCTGCGGGAACAGCAATGAAACCAAAGCTGCAACCATTGTTGCTCTCAATGAAACAACTCCACCTACACACAAATTCACCTGTCCCCACATTATCCTTGAATAGCTCAGCCTGGGTCAAATGATCACACACAGCTGGTGTCAAACATAAAGCCCTGGGTAGCACCTTGGTCCAGGCACTGCTTGAAATAGCCAATAAATACCATATTTTCCCATGTATAATACACACCCATGTATAAGACACCCCCCTTTTCTAATCCAAAATTAAGAAAAATATCGGGGCTTAGCAAGTGTAGGGGAAAAGGGATCAAAGCGCTGCAGGATTGCCTTGATCCCTGCATTCCCCTCCACTTGTTTTTGTTCTCTCCTACACTTCCATGTAGAAGACGAACCTCAATTTTAATCTAAAGATTTCAGACAAAAGTATAGTCTTATACATGGAAAAATATGGTATTAATCACTTCCTTTTGCCCACACTTCTCATTTTGCTGAGAGTCCTTTGGGATGTCCAGGTGAAGTAGACATCAACATGATAATTACAGTGGAGAGAATGACTTAACTGAAGATCACAAGTCTTTCAAAACACTGAAGAAGGAAAAACAGATTTATCTTGGCAAAACAGAGATTTGTCTGTAGAAATCTGTACTTGTAGATTACAGTATGTGTATGAAGCTAGTGGAGTACTTGAAAGTCTAAAGAACCTGTATAGTAATTTTTATAAAATTGCATCAGCACAAGTTGGTTATGTTATTAGCTGTGAACTTTTACTGCTCATTAAAAGTTTCCTATTCCATCAAACACCCCAGTTCCGAGGCTTGAGAAATTGCTGCTGCCAGTCCCGTTAGGCTGATTGTCCAAATAGGAGGGGGAAAATATCAAAATAAGGAAAATCAAGGACTCTTATCTGGGAATGGGGGTAGGTGGGTGTAAAGAGTTTGTCCAGCTTACACAGAATGCACCCATTTGCCGCTAGTCTGTGTCTGTGGTGGTGTATCCTTTCAGCACAGATTGGGGCATTGCTGTGTTGTTCTTTGTGGTGTTATGTTATTGTTGGTTTCTTTGCTGACTGCATGTCCCTGTCTGCCAGTCTTCTACTGCATGTCTCCTAGCTGTTCCCTTGGCTTTTCTGTGTTTTCTGTTGCCCAGGCCCAGAGGATCTTCTGTGTGGAGTGGGTGGCACAGAATTCATACAGTCTTCTTTTTTCTAATTTTTGGATGGTTTACTGTTTTTTCAATTCATTGGTGCATGAATGAGATTCCTCCCCCCCAATCTATAGAATTGGTTTAGAGTTTCCTGCATAGGTCTGATGACAATTTTTCCTTCTCATGTATTGTTGCCTGCCTTTGGAATAGATTGATTCTCTGTTGCCTTGACTCTGCTTATAATCATTGTTAAGGTTTCATTAGGGATGACAGAACAATTGAATACACACAGAGGAGAAACAGAAAAGAGGCATTCCATTCTATGTAAAGCAAAAGGATTTGGAAGCACAAAAAAAAAATCAAAAATAAAAGAATGCAAAGTGGAAGAAAAACAAATCAATCATTAACATGATCATTACGTACTTTGACCAAAGGGCACAGTGTCTGTCCAAAAGAGGATGGTCAGGTTGGAGAGAAGTGAATATACAAACTAATTTTTCTCAGCATTCAAAATACACACAGGAGTGCACCTATACAACTGCAGACACATGATCCCTGAGTGATACTAGTGTAACCAATTAAATCTTTAAAAATGAGGAGGAGTCAAGAACTCATTCACCACCCAAAGTATCTGTGAGGATTCATACTTTGCCTCCCCAATTTTCAACCGAGACTCTGGAGACACTCTTGTTGTAAAATCACAATTAGTTTTTATTGGAATATGCAACAATAAATCCTATTGCCCAAACTCAGCTTCAGCGGTTTCTCTCGTCACCAATGGGTCCAGCAAGGGCATCCAAACGTCTAACAAAGGAGTTGCTGTTGAATTCCTCTCAAGGTCCTTTCAAAAACGGGTTATTGTTTTCTAACTCACAAGTCTCTATCTCCGGGTTCAGAAGCGGGGTGGTCTCATCGTCCCGGACCTCCAAATCACAATTAGTTTTTATTGGAATATGCCCTCTGCCCCGTAGCTGTCTTCCTCTCCTCATAGAGGGGCCCACGGTCCGTTAAGTACTCCCTCCTCTGGTCTTCCTCTAAAGGACATGCCTAGCATTCTCTCTCTTCCCTAGACACTGCTTCTTTTTCCTTCCTGAGCCTTCTACGCCACTCTCTGCCCTTAGACTCTCCCCAATAGGAAGGACATTGCAGTAGACCCCTTCTTCACTGGTAATCGGCTTCTTCTTTCCTCATAGAGGGGTCCACGGTCCGTTAAGTAGCCCCTCCTCTGGTCTTCCTCTAAAGGACATGCCTAGCATTCTCTCTCTTCCCTAGACACTGCTTCTTTTTCCTTCCTGAGCCTTCTACACCACTCTCTGCCCTTAGACTCTCCCCAATAGCAAGGACGTTGCAGTAGACCCCTTCTTCGCCGGTAATCGGCTTCTTCTCGGGGAACCCGTACCATTTCCCATTTACCGGTCCAAGGGTCCTCTACCCATATCTTCTCCAAACCCCCTGGTGTTAGGTGTACCTCTCCTTTTATATCTCCCACTCCCGCCTCCATGACGGACCTGCCCTTTCCTCTTTTCCCGCCAATTCAACCACTGAATGGGTGGCCACTGTCATCTTTAACAGTTCCCGCTCCAACTCCCGGGTATCAACTCCATGCTGTTTGGTCTCGATGGGTGGTGCTGGGGGGGGGGGTTGTCTGTGCCTCACAGTATGATAATAATGGGTGTCTATTACTTCACTATGTAGATACAAAAATGTACAGAGTGGCTGCTACTCATCAATTGAAGCATCAATGAGAGCTCTTGGGCTTCAATGAAGCCATTTAAAATACGGTGTAATTGAAAGTCACTGCTATATACTGCAGATTTCATTGCTTTCTTTGTCTAGGGGAGATCCGTCTCATAGTAGTGTCTTCACTTCTTTCTTCTTCGGGCGAGCTGCTCTCTGTTGTTCAGTTGAGGTCTCAGCACGATGATGTAGCATTTGGGGGAAAAGATGCAAATCAATAAGCCAGTGCTAGAGGCCAAGATGGAGAAAACCTCCACGGATACAGTCTGCTTTCCCTTACTGCTCAAGTATGCGGGAAGAGAGGACCCCCAAACAGTACAAATGAGCAACATGCTGAAGATGATGAATTTGGTTTCGTTGAAACTGTCAGGTAGCCTCCTGGCTAGGAAAGCCACTGCAAAGCTGGTAATGGTGAGGAAAATCAAAAAACCAAAGACATAGAATACCTTGGTGTTCAATCCTGCATTACAGTGGAGTACAATTTCGTTAAGCATTGAGTGCATGTCCAGATCTGGAAATGGGGGAGAGCTTGCCAGCCACGCAGAACAAAAAGTGGTTTCGATCAGCAGGCAGGAAAGGACAACAGAAATGGCCAGTCTTCTCCCCACCCATTTCCTCATCTTGGAGCCAGGTTTTGTGGCCTTGAAAGCGAAAACCACAATGATAGTCTTTGTTAAAATGCAGGAAACTGCCAGACAGAAAGCAATAGCAAAAATAATATGCCGTAGGACACATGTTACTCTCTTGGGCTGTCCGATGAATATCAAAACACTGCTGAAAGACAGCATAAGGGAGAAGAGGAGGAGATAGGTGAGGCTTCGGTTGTTGGCTTTGACGATGGGCGTGTCCTTGTACTTAACGAAGATTCCAAGAACCACAGCTGTGAGGACAGAAAAGGAGGAAGCGAGAATGGCCAAAGTGACCCCCAAGGGTTCTTCATAAGACAAGAAATTTATTTTCTTTGGAATGCAGAGGTTCTGCTCTTCATTCGGGTAGTGGTCAGGTGGACATGAAAAGCAAGCATCCGTGTCTGGAAAGAGGGGGGGGAAAGCTTGAGGTGTTATACATGGCAATCCTAGCATATTCTTCCGAAATAATTAATTCAGCATCAGAATGATTAGTCTGAAGTGAAGAAGAAAAGGCAAACTTCTCAACTGCTGGGTAGTTTAGTGGTTTAGATACCTGACTGCAGAGGTTGAGAGTTTGATTCCCCAACGTACTTCCTTGACAGGAGCTGGACTTGATGACCCCTAAGGTCTCTTCTAGCTCTGCAGTTCTACGATTATTATTATATAACTATGGTGACATCATCTAATGCCCAAGGAGGGCCTATGGGCAGCCCATGATTTGAGATCCACGGCAGAAATGGAAGATCAGAACTATTACTCTCATTCTGACTATTACAAATTCAGAAACCTGATTATTTAATGTTACAAGATTCAGAACTGTCTATACCCATCATTCTACTCAGTTTCAATTACGTTCTCATCTAGGGGGAAAACAATAATCTGAAATACAGTGGTGCCTCGCTTAACGAGCGCACCGCATAACGAC